CCGATTAATCGATGATAATTAATTATCTTGGGACATTCCAATAAACTATTACTTTCGATTATGCGGCTGTCGATAATCGATTAAGTGCCCATCACTAGGGCCGGTATTCATAGTCAGTTCTTATTTGAAGACTGTCTTAAGTAATGTCTTAAGATGCTAAAGTGGCCCTCTGGCCGGTATTCATAGTCAGTTCTTATATTCAAGACCGTCTTAAGTTCAGTCTTGAAGAGTTACGAACCAATCGGAGGGTCGCTTTAGCACCTTAAGACATTACTTAAGACAGTCTTCAAATAAGAACTGACTATGAATACCGGCCTCTGATTGGTTCATAACTCTTCAGGACTGAACTTAAGACGATCTTGAATATAAGAACTGACTATTGCCTGGTTTATGCTTCGGTCTTAAGGACTTAATCCTAAAATTCAGCCAATAGGGTTCAAATTTCAGTTAAAACTGGTAGCTTTATTGGTTGAATTTTAAGATCTTGGAATTAAGACCTGAAGCATAAACCAGGCATATGAATACCGGCCTAGGGGCCGATTGTTCCATTTTTTGGTAAAGTTTACCTGTAGGTAAATAGCAAGATTGCCCAATCACGTGCGCGGATTGTCAAATTTACCTGACAGGTAAACTTTACCGAAAGATGTAACAATCGGCCCTTACCCCAGATCTACAATAGAGTTTTAAGCCATAAGGAATGGACGAATCATAGTCGATTATTCTCCTCGAATTCGACTGTAATTGGTTAATTTCTTAAGCCTTGTGTCCACGATGCTAGAAATCGGTCCGAGATATCGGATGAAGAAAGAATTGACAAATCACATTTGAACAATTTGGTCACATGACCAATGTAATTGGTCAATTTTTCCTTCATCCGAATTCCGAGATCTCGGACCGATTTCTAGTATCGTGGACACAAGACTTAACAACGCTTTTTTCTTGATAAAATTCGTATCGAATGCAGTCGAAATGCTTGTCGCTCGCCATTTTCAAACCATTTCATTTTGAGGTTGTGTTTGCAATTGTGTAAAGTCGATTATTTTTTTAATAATATACATTAAACACCACCACATATCAAAAGGCGCGAAAATATTTGAATTCCAAGTTTGAATTATACGTTACACAAAAAAGTTTTAAACTTATTGGTATACCTAACATATTGTAAAAATAATATGAAAATTCCACTTATCTATCTTTTATGCATTTACCTCATGGATTTCTATTAAATTTTTATTTCTTCTGTTAAACATAAGAATGTAAAAAGCAATGTCCGATTTCCGGGCCTTTCATTGTACATAATACGCGCGTGTTTTTAGCGCCGAAACATTATTTTGTGCCTGCTGATTAGAAAAAGATAAAAATTCAGGACTTTTAGAAAATAAGGTGTGTTACTCTGTACATATAAAAATACTAATGTAAAATCATCAAAAAGTAAATATTTTAGCAGAGATATTTTATCATATTTTATTCCAATTCTGTTATAAAATATGAAATATCTTCTAAAGCCTTTCCAAAATTTAGCTCGCAAGCTAAGTACTTCCACTTTTCGCACCTCTCCATTGTTTTGTTAAAAAAACAGAAGACAAAAAAGGATAGACCAGTCAATCATTGAACAAAACTATCGTCTATTGTTTTTATTTTCTCTGTCTAGCTCAAAATGATGAAAAAGTGAGCTAGTTTAGCTGGTTTAAGCTAAGTTTTGAATAAGCTTGTTAAGATGTTCACCACTTTCGGATTGCTTTATCTTAACATTTTATACGTAAAACGGCAATAATTGGTAATATCGTATATAAATATGCTGTACACGTTTGTGTTGTAACAGTTCTTTATTTCTAAACGGTAGAAAATATTTTTACTTACGCAAGAGTGCAAAGAGGGACTGACGGAGCCTGCATGCGTTGCAATAATTAGATCCGCATTCACTGCGCGCAAGCGGAAGCCTACGCTTGGAAATAAATTTTTTTTTATCTCTTTCATGATAAATCCATTTTTGGCATATACAACAAGTGATTGGTGATTCTTATAGCTTTCACAACGCATCAAAAGGAGCCTGATCTCTAAGGATCTGTTTCTTTTTTTCCAAAGAACTTGTGAAACAAAAAAAAATCCTATAAATAAAATTTCCAGTTATAGAAAAAGAATTAAAAATAGTAATTCAATTAAATTATTTGCGAAGATCTCTGAAATTCTAGAAATCGAAAATTCAAGTTGGCATAATTTCAAATTCTAAGGATTCGAGAAACTGTACAGTAAAGTTTTTGGGAAATAATTTTCTTTAAAAAAAAAAAAAAAAAAAAAAAAAAAAAAAAAAAAAAAAAAAAAAAAAACTGAAATATAACAGAAGAAATTAAAGATTTTAAAAACAACATAATTCAAGAAGCCAAATAAAAACCGAGCTTGAAATCTATGGCTCCCCTACAGATCATGTTGAATATATAACATACCTCCTAAAATCTTGAGAATGCATCCTCATTTTGAGTTCAGCAAACCGTTATTATTTACAGTATGTGTGTGTACAGATCAAAATCGCTAATCACCTTGTCTTAAACCACTGATTGATGGTTGAATGAACTTAAAATCGCAATCGTAAGGTCGCACTAGGAGCAGAGAGGACCGAAGATAATGCGTTTTTCTGTTTTATAATGCACATAAGTCTTCTCCTCGTCTCCCCCATGCTCTCCTTTTGCGTATGTTCGAAGGGGCGACGTACAATAACCTCGACAGTGTACCATTACATCACATTGCAGTGTTTGCATTCAGCAGAGAATCAATTAGCGCTTAGTAATTCTTTAATATGATATTCCTACACTTAGATCCAGCGAAGAACCAAAGGTAAAAATCAATTATATTAAAGAATCACCAAGTGCTAACTAATTAGTTTTCTCTGCTGAACGCAGTCATTGTATTATATTTTGAGCTCCGATAATGTTTCTTTAAGCTATGTGAACTGTATAGATAGGAGGTACGGTTCACTTAATGCTACAAATGCTTCGAAATATTCAATTGACCAATCAGAAAAATTTTAGTGACCGATCAACACTTCTATTATTAAATATACAATAATATAAACAATAACATAACGCTCGTTTGTTTGCAAAGCAAAATATCAAAATTTAAGGCTTTTGAGTATTCAGTCAAAAACTACATGTTGATGGTGGTAACACCGCATTAGTTAGCGACCTGGTGAAATCGGTAGCCACACACACGAGGCCATGTTAGTGACTACTCAGGGGCCTTATAACGACCACGAGATGAGTAAATAAGATATTTAAATATTCAGTTCCAGGGAAGGTTGATCCTGCCAGCAGTCTTTTCCCTAGTTGATCCTGTCAATAGTCTTCATATTATATTTGCTATTTATTAAATGGTTAAAAAGGATCTGAATATTCACAAATATCTTATTTGCTTGTCTCGCGTGGTCGTTTTAAATTTTGAGACTTTGCTCATTTTTACAACTTTTTTAAAGCGATCTTATCATTTCATTTCATCCAAATTGTCTTTAGAAATGGCATGCAAGAAAAATTATACTAATATATTATATTGACATTTGTAGCATCAAGTAGACCGTAACAAGAGACATACTTTACATTGACCTAGTTTACATCGTGCACCTAATACGGATATTAACTAATAACTTTCTATCGAATTATCTTAATTTCGGCGATATGTGTAAACATATACATGATATGTGTATTTAATTTATTGTTTTGATGTATATTATACCAATTTAGTACATCCTTTAAATATATTGCTAGAATTAAGATAATTCAATAGAAAGTTACTAGTTAATACTCATTAATCAAATGCTCGGTGTAAAAGGGGTTAATAAAAGCATAGGTCCATTTAGGACGCAATCCACTTGGCATTACAAATGTTTCGATGCATTTGGTTGACCAATCGAAAGAATTTTATTGATTGATCAATCAAAAAATCCTTCGAGACATTTGTAGTATCAAGTAGACTGTAGCCTTAAATATTTAATGGACGACGCGTATTTTTCTTCTTGCACGCCTATATACGTTGAGAATTAACGACTAAACAACGACGTCTGTTTTGCTTGTCTGCTAGCTCATTCGCTGCAGCAAGCTTATAGTAAATAGCAGTTAATAACATCATGTAAGTGTAAATAGCTGTGTCGGTTCGTCGCGAAGACCCCTTCAGATTTTTCTTTCCGATGACCGTCAGAGCGAAAAAGAAAACACAAGAATCATGCATACTTATTCAAAGCCTCAAGGACTGAAAGTGACTAGAACTTTTTACATTTCTCCAAGAGATCAAAGGCAAAAAATTCAAAGATTCTCCTGAAACCGCACTATCTTTGCGACGATCCAACATTACAATTCATCGCAGTGCTGGATCTTTTAAAAACGATATCTTAGGTACTTCCGACTTCTAGAACAAGTGATCTTTCGATAGTCGAGAATTAATTGCGCTGATTCTTTATTTTAAAAATGTGTTTAATATTAATAAATAGTATCTCGTAACGCAAAACAATTTCGTAGTTTGCAAATGTTTTAATACCGTAAACTAATAAAATCGCTGAGTTTATTGTAACTCAACGGGGCAGTATATAATAGTTGCTGTGGTCTACTGAAAGAAAATATGATTGAGAATATGATCAATTTTTCGAGTATACAAGCAATATTGCTTCAATTATACAGAACGTTATAAAATTCAAACATGCCTTCAGCAGAAAAGTTTGCAAGGAATTAAGTAACAAGAAGTACATGCAATATTATAATATCAAGTAATAATTTTGGAATATAAAGATATATAATTTGATCAAATCATAAGTTGTTAAAGAGTGGAATAAGATGTACGATAGCATTAATGTACAATTTTTAGCAACCATTAACACTATTCAACACATGATTCATAGAGATGAATCTCTCTTACTACAGTTCACAATTGATAAAATCTCTAAACTGTCATATTAAAAAAATTGTTACTCGAAAAAAGTATCACTTGTTATGACTTGTCATTACTTGGTTTTTCGCCAATTTTTATCTTGCGGTATTTATATACCTAATTTTTTGCGCACTCTGGGTATGCGCTATAATTCACGTAGGACTGTATAATCGCGCTATGTGCCCATGAGATATAACATATCCTATAACTTTAGCGGAAACGCGCACAGGTAAGAGTATCATAGCTCCTTCCCCTTATATACATATACACACCCCCAATGAAAACATCAGTATTCACGAGCGATTAATTTAGAGCTTTTAATCATTTTTTAAAGCGGTTTAGAAAGTGTGCAACGCGTACCTTACACTCTCTCACTCTTATTTATCTTGCTTTTTTTTTTAATTCCTTCTCTTTTTGTTTCTCATTTTCCAACAGTTCGAAACTAGCAGAGTGTAAAAAAGGATGCTGTGAATCCTCGCACGGCTGCTCATATTCGTTAACTTTATTTATACAAAAGATTTCCTAAATAAAGCTATGTAAATTCGGAGTATTGGACGCGTTTCCAGAATGCATAAATTTGTGTGTTCTTTCCCTTCTCTTTCTCTCTTTTTTTTTCCTCAAATTGCTTTCCTTCGAGTGTCTTTCTTGCTTCTTGCTTTCTTCTCTCTTCAAGAACGAAGCGGAAGAGTGCTGGATATTTGCATTTAATTCGTTTTGTTTACATAAGACACGTGCAATACACGCATCCGCCGTGGCAGTTTTTTCCTCATTTCTCTGTTCTCTATCTCTTCATATCCATCTATTTTATTATTATTATTACTATTATTATTATTGTATGTTGTGAATGTCCAACGTGATAAGTACAAGCTAAAGAAAATGCCAAAAATGAAAAACGAGGGAAGCATTTTGAGTTGTTGCAAAGATTTTAGCTTCCAAGTTCTCGGAACAGAAACAGCTTTAAAAGATCTTAGTCTTTTGTATCTTCAAATGCAAAACGTTTTACATCTCAATGTGACGATTTTTCGAAAAAGTTCCCTTAAAATGTGACTTGCTGAATTGTAAGAATAGCATCCAGGTTGAAAACCTTAGGTCGTCCCATGGATCCCTCTGTCTAGGAAACTTTCGCTGATTTTTAGCCACAGACAATTCCAACGGCTCATCATCACATGATTGAAAAAGAATTTTCATGCAAAACAATAACGGAGACACAAATAAAATCCTAAAGCACATACACGCGCGCACACAAGTCTTGAACGATGCACGATCTCCGGTCTGTTCACTCGATGATTGACGCGAAACATCAAGGACACGGTCGATCGCTACTGACGGTGGTTATCCCCGAGCGATAGGTAAGTCCGCGAGGTATCCGGCTTATTCCTCCTCAATAGATTGTACTCTTAGAAGTTGACTAGGACTTAAAGCGGCTGCTAGCTCGAGTTGCTTGAGGTGGACGCACGCGGCTGACGCTTGCCACGCCTTCGGGGGTGCGAGTGGTCCTAGCTGCTGGTAGACGCGATAGGACTAACTGGGCTCAGGGGACTGCGCGCCGAATCCCTCAAGACACCAGTCAATGTTACTAGTAGCTTACGACTACCAGCGTGATCACGATGTTCACCTAACCAAATGCCCTGCCATGTGCCCAATGCTAGCTTGCCATCGGTGATTGGGATGCTCAGTGAAGAGCCCAAAAAACAAGCCTTCACATGTGCCGGCTGTGAAACATTTCGAAATATTCAGTATCCTCTTCTTTGATCACCTTATTCATGAGTGTATAACGTGTATAATAAATATATAATAAACGTCACAGAATTGTGATTCTCTTCTGTCAAAATTTTTGACCAAATCAATCTAAATAAATAATTAACACAATGAGAGAGAGAGAGAGAGAGAGAGAGAAAATAACATTAAAGTCAATATATTTGGGATTATATCCTATAAATAAAATTTGATCTATACTAGATTATTCATTACAGTAGGGACTTTGAAAGCACAATATAACTTTTCAAAGTTAAAAGAAAAACATTTATCAGAAAAGAAATATTTTCAGAGGCATAACACTTACCATATCGTCAGGTCCTTCACAACTATGCCTGTACTCCAAACCTTCAGGAACTATTTTGTTAAGCATCATTTCCATATCATCCCTCACATCTGGATCCCAGCTCTCGTTTAACGCTAAACTAGCCGAGGTATGTAGAACTACAGAAAAAAAATCAAATTCGACATTTATCGTATTACAGAGAAAAAGCTCGCTCGCTCTTTTTCATAATACAAGTATATGTCTGAATGAACATGAATACTGAAAATAAAACTCGATCAGTTAATCTACCAAAGCAAGTACAGATCAGATAGTTGAATACTCACTTTGGAGATGACAGAGACCAATGGAAAACTGGCAGAGCTCAGGTACCTGCCTGAGAATCTCCTCGGTGACTAAATGAACGCCTCGGTGTTGCGGTCTAAGATTAATCTTGGCCTGGAACCAACCGGATCCGATCTGAATACCACGGTTGGAGGAGGCCATGGCTGCACACAGAGGTGAACGAAGTGCGAAGGCAAGTAGAAAGGGGGAGGAAAAGACTCGGGACGGCCTCTTCGAGTGCACGCCAATCGTCGACGAAACGGTGCCGGTGAGTTGATTCCAAATGGCCGATGCGGAATCCTATTTAGCGATGATTTAGAATGATTTGTCGCGTGCACCACGACCTAATCCACCGAGCGTTCGAGCCGCAAAAGAAGAATAGGTTAGGTTAGGTTAGGGATAAGAAAGAGACACGGAGAAGAGATGGACGAAGAGAACGAAAGAGGGGTGGGGGGGAAGGAGGAGGAGACGAACAGTAGGACAAAAGGGAGGGGTAACGATTCGGGCGCTCGACTGCGCTCAACGCAGCGCGATCGGCACGCGCGTCACACGAACGAGCACGCACACAGCGCAAGCGAGCACTGCATGTCCCCGCACCGTGGTCCACACACAAAGCACGAGAGGCCGAAATGGGACGACGCATGCACGCACATACACGCACGCCTCGTTACTCACTCAGTGTCACCACACTCACCTCTACACCATCAGCGTCCGACAGACGGTTAACGGACGGTGGATTATGACTGCAGCAACATCACGAGATTGTGTCAACAGATGTGACTCGTGAGGGGCATACGGCGTGTCGGCGTGGAACGGCAAACGGCATGTGCCGTGCCCTAGCCTAGCCCTTCTTTGGCGAGTGATTGCAAATGGCGGCGAGCGACTAGCGAGAGTCTACCGCACGAGATACAATTTTTATCATTATTTTTTTTGTCGAAATTTAAGTGATTAAGGGCCGATTGTTCCATTCTTTCGGTAAAGTTTACCTGTTAGGTAAATCTGGCAATCCGCGCACGTGATTATGGGTATAATCTTGCTACTTACCTAACAGGTAAACTCAGGGTGACAAGTAACGTGTTATTTGTAACATCGTTACCGTTAGAAGTTATTTTTTTCGGTAACGGATAGGTAATGTTGCATTTTCTTCGGAGTAACGGTCATGGTAACGCAGTTACATTTTTGGAGTAATGGTAACAATTTCACTATAGTTTTATCGTTACTTTATTTCTACGTATAAAAGTTTTTTAGTCATAATTAAAGTTATAGAAAACAGAGATGAGACATTAAAAGGATAGATCTGATTAGCTTTCTTAATCACGTAATCACGACGCCTTTTTCACATTGTAATTCACACATATAGGCTATGTTTCGTTTCACGTATTATGCACATGACATTTTATCTTTTTTTAATATTTCGGACAAAAATAATAAGTTTTAAGATATTTAACTATTACAATTTATTTTTTACAAATTTGATTAAATTATATTACAGTGAAAAATGTTTAATTAAATATGCTGATTCATTAATCCTTTAAAGAGAAGAGGACGTTTCTGTTCAATGTCATAGAAGATGATGAGCAAAAATTTTAATTTTAATTTTAATTGCGCATTAAAAGAATTTGCGTTCAGCAAACTCAACAATTTTACAACTGTTTTATGATTCTTCACTGAGATAGGACTATTCCTTTAGATCTAAAAGTATAATCCAATCAGCGAGGACGAATCATAAAACGGTTGCCAAGCTGCGTTTTTAAGTCCAATAAAATTTTGGCGCGCAGTTCAAAAAGACTACAAATATGGTATATGTGTATCTACACACATATATATATATATATATAGTATGTATATATATATGTATATAATTTTTAATTAGATTTCGCTCGTTTTTTGTAATGCAAAGTATAAAGAAAAAAAATTGTGAGAGGATCAATCGGACACAGGGCAAAATAAGGAAGACATATTCTCCCAAAGAAATTCAAAATTGGTTGAATCTTTATTCCAGCACACAGAACAAAAAAGAAAACGTCTCGTCGCATCTCCAGTCCAGGAGAAATACGAATAATCGTATCGCACCAATTGATTCGCCGCCATAACGAAAGTTTGTCTCGAGAACTCTTGAACCGCCATCTCACAACTGCCGCTTGGTTCAAAAGCTTCTCTCATAAAATAAAAATATATAAATGTATAAAAATAATATCGAACGTTTCGGTACTCACAGGTCTTTTTTTAGCGATTCATAAAAATGTTTCGATGTCGACGAGATAAACGCATCATCTTACGGTTAAAAATCTCAAAATCTTCAAGAGTTTATTAGATTGTCATACCAGCACAATACCACACCATGTCGCTTTGAGTTTCGAAACGTTTAATATTATTCTTATATTTTTTTAATATTTTTATTTTATGTCGTTTCTTACAATTAGTAATGATTAAAAAGCTCAATACCGCTCGATTTATACTGTTTTTTCTTTATACTTTGCATAATTTTTAATTGAATGAAAAAAATATTTAAGCGTCAAAGATTCAGTTTCTTTATGGGCCTTTAATTCTCATTTCTTATTAGATGTGCTCTCACATGTACAATATCTCTCTTAATAAAATTTTTGTCATTCTTATTATTGTTTAAAATAACACTTTGTATATGCCAGCGTTACATGAATGATTCAATAAAACAACAAAGTTGTACTAGAAAAAATTAAAAAAAAAAGATGAAACCTGTATGTAATAAAAAAAATTAAATGCATAAATTATTCATAAAATTGTATTTTTTTATTTACAATTACCTAGTTTTAGAATAATCTTCAAAAGAGAGTTCATGAATAGTAAATATTTATTTCCTATTTGCATAATGTACAACTGATTCTTAAGTGAAAGTATTTCGTAAAATTGCATTTCACGATTACAAATTGCATGAACAATATATACAATAAGTTTATTGTTAAAATTAATTTTATATGTTGAATAATTTTTTACTTTTACATTTCAGAGGAAGTAGTTAAATAATTATGTATTTTAGTTAATTTTTATGAAAAGTAAAATCTTGTAAAATCATAAGTCTTAAAATACGAATAACAAAACATCTATTGTTTATATATGGATTTGTTATTTCATCAATAAGCTAATGTAGTCAATAACATTTTTATATAATGCACTCACTAAAACCTAATATTTACCACATGTAAACTATCAGGCTGCTTTAAGTTTAAAAATGCTTCCTTATTTTTCTTATTTGTTTTGCCTTAAAGTTCCGAAACCAATAGGTGTAGTAAACCTTAAACCTTAAAAAGCTAACTACTCAAAAAGTCGATTATTCTTTTTATACTTATTTTTTTCAACTGTAATTGATCAATCTCTTAAAAATCAAGGTTTATTTTATACCAATAATGTTTTAGAATTTATGGTATATTAATGACTTATACTATATTAAAGTTTAGAAATGTATTATCATAAGATACTACGATAATTACTGTAACAATATTAGAAATATATTATATTTATGGAACATTTAATTATAATATAATATACATTAAAGCAGTTTGTCATTATTCCCTAAGTCGTGCTAATCTCTGTGTTAATTCATCTTGCTCTTGGCTTACTGCTGTTGAAGTACCAATACTGCCTAGTTGACCTGATGGGAGTTCCATGTTCAATTCCAATCTGCACAAAAATATAGTCAAATAATTTTATACCTATCCAATAAATATAATTTTTTTCAAATACAGTTTAAAGTGATACAATTTTTTGTTTATTTTAAATAAATAATAAAATTGAAATAATATTCCTCTGTGTATATATAAGACAACTAATGCTTTTTGTTTCAACTATAAAAAAAAACTTGAAATAGCATATAGAAATAGATTCTTACCCAGCTTCGTCTGCAACTTGCTGCATTAGAGAATCTACATCATTCTGGGGTACATTAGTAGTCGTGGTTTGTGACATAGCATTCTCCATGTATGAACTTTGCACATCTAGATCCTCAAACTGGCTCTCAAATTTGTCCATAAGACCAGAGATCTTCTCTAAGTTCATTGATTTCATAGCAGCGTCCATAGCTTTGACTACACCAGCCATGGATTGAGTAACTTTGCGAGTCGTCAATGCAGTTTGCACTCTACTAGCTACTGCATCCACTCTAGCGCTCATTCTGAGATAATTCAAGGCCTGATTCTTCTGTCGAATTGCATTTTCTGCATGAATACGAGCGCCCTCCATGTTACCCTTTTGTATCGCCTTCTTGATCTTCGTCTTCTCTATTTTCTCTTCCTTCTCGCATTTCTTTGAGTTTCTTTCCAACTCCTTCACTGCAAACTTTAAATTAAATAAGTTCTCTGTATTTTTGCTATTAAGGAAATTTCTTGTTTAAAAACTGGAAAAAATTATAAGTCAGTAGTAATTCATAGCTCAATTTCAGGGATGGAAGTTATTATTTTATTACTTTTTATAATAATATTTGATGTTGCAATTTTTTATGATATACTATAATGATAGTTATAAGTTAAGGCTAAAAAAGTCATTTTAAAAGGTAACTTGTGTCATTATGCACTTTCTTGCTGAAAAAAGTAATTTGTTAGCAGTAACAAGTAACGACTGAAAAATAACAAGTTATAAATGCCAAGTTAATTTCTTCAGTAACGAGTGAGTTCTCTAACTCGTTACAAGTATAATAATTGAGTAACTTTTCAATTTTTACACTATAGTTATACAAAAAATTTATTGTAAAATTATTATTATTATTATTATAGAGTAATAAGGAAAGTTACAGTATTACTTCCATTTCCTATTCAATTTTATACTTAAGATCATTTTAAGTATGATTTGAAGACGATACATAAAACTTGTCTTTACAGCTTAATTTCTTGCATTTAGCTTTTTTTTTCTCCAATTTGAAAAGAAAAGGAAGACAGATAAATCTTGTAAAAAATTCAGCTACAAAAAACAGCACAAATAGACTAAGTCAAGATAACATCAGAATAATATTAAGATGAAAAAATGACTAAAAAATAACTTTTAATGAATATTTTGATATCGTAATGACTTGTTCTGCTTAAGAGACTATAGTTATGGCGTTAAATAGTTAAATGTTAAAATGATCAAATATAGACAAGACAATCCTTTAAATAAAAAATCAGATTGGATATATATATATATACATATATATCATTAAATATATCATTAACCATTCCAAATATAGATATGTATAAGAATATATTATACAAAATTAAGATTTTTAGATTTATCAAATCTTATTGGCATATCTTTTGAAGACACTTTGGGATTCGGATTTCACATAGGTTATGTTTAGATTCCCCACTCGTGTGCTTCCCAAGTATCATGTCATTCTTGTTTAACTTTCGGTAAATAACAAAGATGAAGTAATACCTGGGTGGCACTCAAGTAGGAGTCTGCACATAGCCCTGGGTGTTCCTAAATGTCATGTCATCCTTGTTGTTTACCAAACATTAACCAAGGATAATACCAGAGGAGCACTCAGATAAGAATCAAAATACGAATTTAATTTTGTAAAAAAAACACTAACAAGGAGATTCCGACGCACAATTATAAATTCAAAGGATACTTTCCATCTGAGAGACGGACATAGTTGATTGTTCGGCCCCCGTTGTGATGAGAACACAATTTTAAAACTTCAAAGGTAAGATGCGTTGCCCAGCTTTAACGTCGATCTTTGCTGATAACGTGTAAGGTATAAAACAGAAAAATAGCGTAATTTGTCACAAAAAAGTCCGTACATACAATGAGACGTTACGTGAACTTTAAAGAATGTAAAAATGCTATCTTTTGATTGACATGACGAATCTTCTCCCAGGATCTACTGCATGCAGTTCTTCTACACTTCCAGTTCTAGGACTCAGATCAGATGAACTCAAATAGTTGGAAGGGATAACATGATTGTATGCGCAGTTCAGTCAAACCTGTTACTTGTGCATTCTTCTAGATGTAAAATTCTAATTGGATGATCTAAAAGAATATAATGACGCTTGTTTGTCTCTATTTGTGTCATCAAATGAAAAATACCCTAGCCTAGGTCTGTTCGCGTTGCTTGCACTTTTTGCACTAAATCCAGCATCGGTAGCAATACTAGCATCTGCCTTCATTCCTAATAAGCATGCGTAAATCTCTTGTAATGATAAGAAATAATATTCATTGAGAAATTGTAAATTGTCATCACGCGAAATGAATGAGAGTTTACTGCAGCGGATAAAAAACCAATTAAACGCAAAATTTTATGTGATGAATGAAACATGGCTAAGAGATTGTATCGAATTCTTCGTTAGAGACAAAGTTCCTCGTGAAGTATGTTATGAATTAAATGTCAAATGTTATTGAGTGCATTTTTCTTAATGCATCAGTTTAACTTTATTTAATATTCGGTGAACGATAAAATAGTACATTATATACACAAAGCAGAATTCACCGATTTCTATTGTTTTACATGTATCATTATTATTAATTAAAATTCGGGAATATGCCAATATACTTGTAATTATTTTGAGCCTTCAGACAAGAAAACATTGGGAGAAAAATTGAGAGAAATGTTTTGTTACAACACTTAGCTTTTAACTCATCAAATAAAATTTTGTATAATTTGTTTTAATAAAAATGAAAATTGTAAAGATATTTTAAAGATTTTTAATATTTGTGTTACTCTGTATATAATTTAATGCTTGAAATATATTTGTATTGCAAATGCAAAATCAGTTTATAAAAAATTACAGTAGAAAAAAGAGAACTTACCAATTGTTATACAATATTAAACAATATCTCTTATTGAATGTTAAATTCTCTCAATGTTAAAACTATAATTTATATAATGACACACAGTTGCTAATATAGAAAGTTTCAATTTTTGCTTCAACTAATTTTAATGTGGAATTAGAATTTTTATTGTCTATATTGGCAAATGTAATTATATTAATTATTGATAAGTAATAAGTAATAACTTTTATTGATTATTGTTACAGATGATAGATAAGCACATTTTTGAATTTGTCGAGTGCCAATGGCAACTGAGTGATCTACGAGAGATTAGCAGTGAGAATGGATGTTTGCCAAAGAATCTGGTACAACAAACACATGTTGTATTAACTGGTACCTATATTCTCCAGGTGAGCTCTTTATGATATTCTTATCACAGCATATATTTCTTACCTTAGATGTCCAAATATGTAGACTATCTGGTATGAGTATAGGTAGACAAGATGTATGATATCGCGAGCTCCAAATATAAGCAACTCTGTGAAATTCGTAAAGTCAACAATGAAAACCTGGAAATAACTGACAAAGAGAAGCCGATGGAATGGCAGCCTAAAGCTAGAAGGATGATACAACTTTATCTAACTGATGGAGTACAAGATGTCACTGCGATAGAATATAGTCCACTTAAACAAATAACTGTATAACTTTTCTCATTGTTGCAAATAGATGTTGACAATCCTACTAAAAAAAAATTGTCACAAAGCAACATAACGAAATCACATGTAATAAAATTAAAATATGTAAATCCCATAACGGATTATTCCAAATCAGTACATGATTTTTTGAAATCACCTAATTTGAAAAGTTACATGATGGTATGTTTTTTTCTATTTCTATTGTTTAATTATTTAAAATTCGATAACTCTTTCTCTATAAAATCATATGATAAATGAAATTATTTCTAATCGTATGATTTTTCAAATTACATGATTTTAAAAAATTATTGATTTGGGACAATCCGTTATATGATTTACTTGTTTTAACTACATGATTTCATTATGTAACTTTGTGACGTGATTTTTTTCAACAGGGTATATCTAGATTAAAAATGTTTCTTTGCAGGATATATTACTTCCTGGCTATAAAGTAATGATAATTGGCCCTGTCCACTGCAGACGTGGTGTTATTCTCCTAGAAGATAGTAAGTATAAGGAAGTTGGTGGAGAAGTGGACACTCTATTGAAATCCAACGCACTGGAAAATGTCTTGGCAAGGGCTCTGTAAGATTTGGTCCAATTTTGAACTTCTTGGCTTTTGGTTTTTGATTTATATATCTATTCAATTGTTGTTTAGAGGAGAACCAGAAAACCCCGATCCATATAACGATAATGGATTACCCAAGATCACAAATCAGAATGTTCAGAGCTCAGCATCTAATTCTAACAACAATGACAGTTTCTTCGATGATGACTTTGAAGAAGCTGTTGACTTGGAAGCAGTGACAGCAATCGAACGACGAAGCCAAGAAATCAATGCCGTTCAAGAAAGCTTTAGAAATACGTGTAGTCGCAAAGAAGTAGCTAGAAAAGAAACAAGTGAAGTTATGGAAATGTTAGATGATATAGACTTTGAACCCTTAGAGGATTGGTAAGTGCAATTTCTTAATATAAATTTAATTTAGATAATAATTGATATCGCGTTTTTAATTATACAAGAATTTGTTTTAAAATTCACAATTTTTCTTATATAAAAATAAATTTTGAAATGTCACCTAATTTTATTATAATAATTTAAGCAATCGTTTTAGGTCTAATAATTCTTCAGTAAGATCTTCACGGGCATCGTCATCACTAATGAAGACTAAGAAAATTGACAAAGATGATATAATGATAGTTGAACAAATGTCAACTTCCATTCACAATTCTCACAGCAAATTACCGCTTTCTACGAAATCTATTCCGAATCAAAATGTTTCAGAATTTCCTGATGACGATTTTGACTTAGATGATTGCGACGTCATAATTAACACAAAGAAATCGCAGAGGTTTTTTATCCATTTTTGTTATGCATCTTCATATTACTTTCACTATTTATTATTGGGTATCTATTATTTATTTTTTATTCAACGTTTTTTAGTCAACAAGGTGAAAATCCTTTAAAGAATAAAACCAAAACATGTCTTTCGTTAGAAACGTCTACAAAATTGACAAATTGTAATACTCCAATACAAGTTAAGGAAAGTACATCCATAAAAGCGGCACAAAACGAGAAATCAATGGTATACTATGTATATTTATAATATAATATTATTTTTTATGAATAATTCTTATATATATATTTTTTAATTGAAACTGCTTTCATGTCTTATTTAATTTCATAATTTTGCTGAAGGTAAACACTTTGAGAACGATACAGCAAGTGCCTAAGACTAAAACTATTTCCGACTTTATCAAGCCTCGACCAATTCCCAAAACCTATGATGTTTTGCGCGATGTCTTACGCGAGCCTATCACGGGAAAAATATACAGAACAGTGAGAGGTCAGGTGAAGAATCATTCGACGTTAACGAAACAGGGTACATGTTGGTCGGTAACAGCACTGATCGCAGATTGCACTTCCAATGTAGAAGTTTGTTTCGATTCTGAGGTACGTGTGAAATAAAACGATTTCTTAAGGCTTTTATTGCAATTATTTATTATGACATTAGAGAGAAATCATGAGAATCTTTTTTTCTCGTTTTTTTCTCGTGTGATTTGTCTATAACAAAAGTCCTGACATTGATGTCTTCAATAAATGTGAATTACTAAAATGGTTTTAGATTCTAGAGGGTTTCCTCGGATTCACCGTACAGGAATTTTTGCAGAAAAAGAAACTTGCTAAGTCAGATCCTCAAATAAATAACGAATTACGATTGGTAAGATGAATACCTATATTCAATATATTATATATACACTTCTCAACAAAATTGAAGAATCACTTGTTGCACCTTGCAAAAATAGGCAAATTTCAAAATAAAATAACTTCGTCAAATTCTTCATTTATGTTTACGTAACTTTATGGAATATCAGTAATACGGTTTATTATAGTACAGGTCTGGAAAGTAGAGATTTCAAGCTTTAAAATGTTTTTTTTTAAATCTCGATACGATGATTTTTGATGAAACTATTTTATCATGAAATGTACTTATTTTTGTAGGGTGGAACAAGTGATCCTTTAATTTTGTTTAATTTAATTTTGTTTGAGAAGTGTATATATTTAAAATATACATATATATATATTCAATATATATATTGAATATATATTATATAAATATATTCAATATATATATTGAATATATATTATATAAATATATTCAATATAGTAATTGTTAAGGATAATACTCTGTGTTAAATCTAAATTTTTCAGAGTCTACGCAAGACACAACATGAGATACAGAATTTAGATGCATTGTTGAAATTGGAATTAGCTCAGGATCAAATGCCTAAAATCGTTGGTATCACGCAGTTGACTCCACAACAGAAGGAAGACCTTAATAAAAGATCTGTATGAAATAAAATATGTAAGTTGCAAGAGATACTTAATTAATTTTTCAAAAATATTCGATACCTTTTACAAACACAGCATAATGCTGCAATCAAAACTATAAATAATAATTGCGAAAAATTGTAATTTTAAATTAGATTTAAGAATTAATTTATTAAATATTTTTGTACAATTTATTATAACTGTTACTTGTAATAAATATTTCAACAGTTGGTATAAAGTGAACATACGTCACTCTCCTATATGTTCTATTAGTATAATCGAAGATATGTGTACAGGCTCTGAGAATAAATAATAAACAAAAATGCATAAACCAATTAAATGCATAAACCACCACACCCTCTCTCTACTACTCACCCCGTAATGCAGCGTTCGAACAAAGAATTGCGATCAAGTTTTTTTTGAAACTCAGCAAGACGGCAAGTCTATCGGTGGCACAAGGCTTTTTTAGAATGTCCTGAAGAGATCAGCGATAAAGCCCGCGCTGGACGGCCATCAACGACCACCACCGACGAAAATATGACGCGTGTGAGAGCTAGAACTTCTGAACTCAGACCGTCGTTTGAGTGTTCGTTTGGTGGCACAAATATTAAAAATTCCAAAAAGTACTGGTCACGAGATTGTAACAAACAATTTGCAAATGCGAAAAGTGTGTGCGAAAGTGGTGCCCAAAAGTGGTAACGGACGACCAAAAATTGCGCCGAGTTGAAACATGCGAGAAACTTTGGGACTTGTGTGAAAATGATCCTTATTTTTTAAACAATGTTATCACAGGTAACAAAACTTGGGTGATTGAGTACGACCCCGAAACAAAAAGGCAAAGTGCCGAATGGCACACCACGGCGTCCCCTCACCCCAAGAAGGCAAGAATGAGCAAGTCAAAGGTCAAGACCATGCTCATTGTGTTCTTTGACATCAGGGGGCTCGTCCACCATGAGTTTGTACCACATGGTAAAACCGTCGACGCCAAATTCTACGTGGAAGTGCTCTAGAGACTCAAACGAAAAGTTCATCGCGTCCGGCCTGACATCGCAGACGATTGGAAACTTCAACATGACAACACGTCATCCCACAGCGCCTTCCTCGTGACCTGTTTCCTGGCCAATTCAAAGGTTCCTCAACCAGCCTATAGTCCTGACGTGACTCCCGCAGACTTCTTTTTGTTTCCGCGCTTGAAAACTCCTATGAAAGGACATCATTTTAGGACGGTTGACAAAGTCAAAGAGGCTTGCACCAAGGCTTTAAAGAACATTCCGAAAGAGGCCTACTGTGACGTCTTTGATACTTGGAAATCTCGCTGGAATCGACGCAGGAAGAGATTATTTTGAATCCTTTTAATGTGTTGTACCGATCTAGTCAATAAATTTTTTTTAATCAACTCATTGACATTACTTTTCGGACAGACCCTGTAGGCTTGCCATGGCTCTTACTCGACAGACTGTATATTTTTTAAATCATTTTTTTTAAATATATTTCTGATATATCTGTATTTTAAAAAGAAAGTAATATCTTAAAAAAATCATATCATAAAAATGAAAAGATCAAGCCATGTTCAAAAAAAGATGCTCAAAAATTTAAAACTATTTATCTAATAATAATATATTACCATGAAAAGTAACTAATATATTATTAATTAAAGGTGCCAGTTCAAAGTGAACATAATAAAGTGTATGCAACTTTCGGCCGATTTTCGAATCGACTCCGCTGTCCCCCTCACATCGTCGCTTCGCGCACAGTCCAAATGCCGCTCGACTATCGTGTCAGTTACTTTTCATGTCATTTTATTCTCAATTGTTCTCTATTAACATTTTTTTATTAGGGATCTATTTTAAAATTTGATTTAAAACATTAAAAATTAGTTTCTTGACGTATTTTTACGCAAAGAAATTACGTTCACTAAAAGAGAACAAATTCTGATTAACGAATTGCATGATCATAGCATTTATTAACTAATACATACAATTGATCATCGCGCAGTGGTACATTTTTGTCTCAACTCATTGTTTATCCTCATTAATTTTTTTTCTCTCACTTATTCATACTTTTTCGTCACTCACACGCATGTATATTCTCTCTCGCATTCTTGTCTTCTCATTTATTCAAGGTGTTAACAAGTTCACAATTTTTCAGTTAATATCATTATTTTTATTGTTACAATAGATTTATGCTTATTGCACGCTTCTCCGTGATATAAAATTCATTCCCTTCTCTCTTTCTCTCTCTCTCTCTCTCACATACGCACGCACATACACGCACATACACACACGCGCGCGCACACACACATTCCTTCTGTTTTCTTATTCTAACTCTCTTGAGATATAAAATAAATTGTTGAAACACGCATCGATGATTCTGTCTCTAAGGAGGATCTGCAAATAAATTGTTTAAATAACAATAATTTAAATATAAATATCAACGCAATACGTCTCGTGAATTTCTACAATTGTCGACATTGGGCTTCTCTCTCTCTCTCTCCCCTCCCTCCCTCCCTCCCTCCACTTTCTCTTTACCCTTGACTCTTTCCTTCTTTCCGTTTTGATGAGCGCAACGACAACGTCGTTTCTTGTCAGTGGCATCAGTCTGCCTTTCGTTGATCTAACTAAAGTTTGTCCTTTGTAAAATAACATTCTCGCAATAACTATTATCGTAGGAAACGCACATTGACTGCTTCGAGCCTTCGGGTCTTCGGGTCTTCTGACACTGTAGAACTCTCGAATTCGCGGGTTACCGAAGACACGGATCCTCGGAAACTTACATATGTATGATGATCTCTTAATATTTTATCTTATCGGAAATGCTTGATCGATGTGATTAAATTTAAGAAAATTTAACTAAAATCTTCGAATCTCTGTAACCTTAGCTAATAGAAGCCACTAAAGTTAGATCCTGGATACCTTGAATCCTGAGAAAGTCGAGATCATAAATAAGTCACTATATCCTTCAACTAGAACTTGTATCTTTACGTGTTTTAAAGCCTTATATCATAGCAATTTGAGTCTCTGAGTTCGCAGATCTATGGATTCTCGGAAATGTCAATTCTTCAAAATTAAGAAAATTTTAAAGCAATTTTGAAATTTTAAGTTTTTGTGAAATTGAAAAATTTTAAGTTTTTTTCGATTTTTTAAATCTTAGATTTATGAAGTTTGAGATATAAATTTTCTTCGGTATAATAATCAACAAATTGTGACGAATGAATCTGATTTTTTGAGACCTTTCGAATTCTTGAAAATTTGGATCATAAGAATTTGAAATTTTCAGATCTATGATATAATTAACGAGTGTTTCTTCGAGTCGTCGATAATCGTGGATTCTTGGTACCTTGGATCTCAGGCTTTCACAGAGTTTTCGGATCTTTACGGATCCTTCGAACTCGCGCAATGCTCTCTCACTGTCTCCCGACTTCTCTATAGAATGATGAGCTTTCGAGGAATTAGTTTTTGAGGATGTTCGACGAGCGTCGCCATGTCCGAGTCTTCCTCGGCCGGGACAATTTTCTGCAGTTCAACAGTACATGAGAGGCGCAGATCGATCACCAAGACGGCGGCGGTGTCCTTGAGATCATTGGATCGCTTCTATCGATCGCAAATATCGCCGTACATGAATCGCGTGGGAACTCTCACGGTTGCTGCCTTAGTATCATGTTAAAGTGTGTATTTTATATTTTGTGTGTATGTGTGTGTGTGTGTGTGTGTGTGTTTGTGTGTGCGTGTATGTGTGTGTGATCAGTCCGCGCACACGATATACTAATAGATATCGATGAAACTGCTAGAGATGAGAAAAGCAGAACTCTAACGGAAATTTATCTACGTAATCTCGTCGTCTCAACAATACGGCGCTTCCGACAGTTAATGTGGCGTGTACATGAGTGTATGTTTTCTGCGTGTACGTGTATTACGAAAGGTGGTTTTTGGTGGTTTACCAAAAGGTATAACCGCCTTCCGTTCCTCCTCCTAGGAACGAGCCCTTCTTTTGCGAGAGGGCCACACTATGGCCGGCCATCGCGGCCAGCTGTGCAGCGTTCGCGGCCACTCCGGGTGGAGGCGGTGGCAACACCGGCTGCGAGATGCCGTCGAATCGGGTACCGTCAAAACCGTTCTGTGAAACAAATATTAGGAATATCAATAATTGGAAAAAGGTCTTGGAGTTGGACTCCGACATCTTACTTATACGTGAGCAACTTGAAAAGTTTCTTAAGTCATACAGAGATAGCGCGCGTATCGCAAAAAAGACATAAAAAGTACATCATCTTTTATGATTGCTGTTAAATTTTCAGACAATTGCGTCCATGAGTCATTTAGTTACGAGTAGTTAAACAAAGCAAGGCAAATATTTTTTCAAATGGATAAAAAATTTCGTGCAGTGATAAAACATCATTTTTTGAAAGGGAAACAGCTACGCAGATTCAAGCAGAGTTGCAGGAGGTTCATGGCAGATTTACTTCTTCATTATTATCAGTTTTTGAGTAAACGAATTTAAACGTGGTCATACCGACACCGATGATGAACCACGCAGTGGACGCCCGAAAACTGCTATCAACGAAAGAATGGTCAATAAAGTGCTCGATATTGTTATGAATAGTGTTCTGTCTTTACTAGCAGTAAATATCCTAGTAAGTAACAAACTGTTAGTGGTACGTTAACAGTTTGTTACTTACTGATAGTAAATTCGACCAGAAATTGCTACGAGTTGTATAATTACGGTATGATAATACAGTTATCGTTTAAGACTTCATTATTGATGCTACTAGAAGTAGCAACATGTTAATAATGGAATGATTCTCTAAGTATTGCCAGTATTGAGCAGGCATGCATTTAGACATCATTTGTGCATCCGTAAAAAATAAATTAAGTCCAAAACAATCAATAATAATAATGGATTTTTATATTTCAGTACAAACAAAGAAAGTTAAATTTGGCTAAAAAGGAGTCAGCGCAATAAATTAAGTCATTATTTGAACTAATAATATGAGAAGAAAAAAATTTGAGCTTTAAAATGCTTTTTAGATTATATATATTTCATTATGATAATTTTTTTATATTCTCTTGAAAATTGTCTACTTTCAGAAGGCAGACTAGGTAAATTCTTTAATTTTTTAGAGCAGTGTATATTACAAAAAATCTAAGCTTGTGCGTGACGTCATGTTTTAAATTCCACTACAAATAATCTTTTAGAGAAATACATATTGATACTTACAGGTACCATAATGGTAGGTCTTACGGGGGCGGGTTGCATAGTAGGATAGTATGCCGTTGTCGCAGCTAACGGCGGATAATATTGCAAGGGATATCCTGGTGGGTAATATTGTAAAGGGTATCCTTGTCCATACATTGGTTGATACATCTGAATGAGAATCGATATTTGTGATGAAATTTGTTCTCCTTCGAGTAGAAATGAAATAATGCGTGTGACTCACCATAGGATGTGTAAGAGTTTGATCATATGTCGGCGGCGGTGGGCCTTGCGTCGCGTACAATTGAGGCTGATTGGGAAATACTCCATAAGGGGCGGCGCCTGCAACTGTTAATGAATATTATCAAAATCTTTCATTATCTAATATAAGTGTAATACATTTGAAATATTAAAGGGAAAAGGGCATTTTTATTGTACTTTTGTTTATTAATAGGTTAAAACCAAATTAAATTCTTGTTCTTAGCACTCCATTCCCTACTTTCAATTTGACTTCTAATAACAACACATATACGTGCACAAAATGCTATTCTTTTGAAATAAATTAGGATTCACATGATTCTTATCATATCGCTATGATTAGAATTCATAATATCATTATGCCTTTTATTGTTTTTCTGTTTCACCTATTACATAATTACATGATCATATAACGAATATGAATTAATAAAGAGAACAAAGGGAAATATTAAAGTTACACATCTCAGTAATATTTCAGCGATATTTCTGACATGTTGCTGTGATATTACGTGGAAAGATTAAGAAAATATCGAAATGCAGTCGTCGCAGAACGTCAGCGAATACGTGCATTGTTTGCATTATTCACTTATTACAGGATTACACACTGATTGCAAGATTTATAAAAGATTGTAAGATGTCCTAAGATCTAGCTTACCACCGTAAGTTGGAGGTTGTGTCGGCGCGGGGACAAAGCCAGTCGGTGGATGCGGTGCCACCGGATACGCTGTAACATAAGGTAATACGTAATGCAGCTCTACCTGAATTCGCAGGTCGCGAATAGCATGTGTGTGTGTGTTCGATCTAAGCCAACATGGTACGTGGTACCACACTGCCAGAAAGGACGAGTGCCGGCGCAACCCGTCCGCGTCCCGACGCGGCACCGAACAACGGAATCAGCACATATATTCTTGGTAGATTATTAAACCTCGTCCGCGTCGAGCACGCGTAGAGCGCGTCGTCGAGATTAGGGGCGCGATTGGATTCTCTTCATCGTTGTGGGTCCGAACAAATTCGATTAAATTTTTAACATTATGTCATTTCGATTTCTACTTTTCAGCTACTTGTAGCTGTTCGAAGTGATTTCAATAAATGTTTAATTTTCAATTATTCACATTCTTTTGAAATTTGATATTTCTTGATCAATATAATCCATATCAGCAGTTTTGCTGAAAGTCAAAATTAATTCAGCAATTCAAGTTTTCGATATTAATTAAAATATGTGTATTTGACTAAGAGTGATATCATTTGTGATAACAAGATAAATAATTGAAAAAAGTGAAAACCAGTCGAGGAATGGTAACTTTTGAGGATTCAATCGTTTCAATTCACATTTCTAGACAGTTCTTTAAAAATCACTTTCAGCTCAAGCTATTATTAATACAAGTTTTAGGGTATAACCACTTCGATATCGTTAATTCGAAATATTTCTTTCAGAATTAATATAGCATTGAGATAAGTTTTGTTCCCGAAGATAATACGAAAGACTTGTTCTCACCACATCGGAGAGATCGTCCAACGCGCCGCCGATCTCCAGAGTGGTACTCCCACACCCAAGTATATCTTACACATGACATACACCGTTTTGATCAAGATACTATTCAAAGCTCAAACAATGTTAGTCACTAAATAATGGTGAAAAGAAATAACCGAAGATATTGCGCCCGCCTGTCGCTCCCGGGGCCTTTCTTGAGCTCTATTTCGCCCGGCGTAAACTACCGGGGCGCAGACGGGCTTTTTTATAAAAACATTTACAAGGTGACCAACCACTCCTCTTATCCTGAAAGACACCTACTCAATCTTTGCATTCGTTTTCTATGTAATTATGTATCCACACACGCGACTGATGCTTCTCCTAATTATTTTGACTTACCATTTTGGCATGTATTTATATTTACAAATTTGTTTCCAAACGCGAAATCCTTTTTTATAAATATAAATAAAAATTAGAGGATGTCAACCTTTAATTTGCTACAGCACTCTATGCTATTATTATCTTAAAAACTTGTTCTCTGGAAAAAAAATAAAAAGAATTATCCAAAAGTCTCAGGTCTCATCTGTACAATAGTCATATAAACTGTGTCGCAAGTCGCAAGCTGTTGCGACAGTCAATCTGAATCGTGAATTTAACACTGAATCAGATAGGTTGTCCTAACAAGCTTGCAACACAGATTGTGCGACTATTGTAGATGAGGCCTTAAACTTAATTATTTTTAATTCCTCTATTTTATAAAAATAAAATAATACAAATTTAACTCTCTACATATATTGTTAAAAAATATTACTATAAAAATAAAATTTGTTTGGAATGTTCTGAACACTCTATACTTATCTACTTAAAGATTAAAAGAAAGAACATTTTTGTAGAGTAACATTTTTAGAACAAGAAACAAAAGATAAGATATACTTAGTGCAACTGATATATTTATAATGTGGGTTTTACTCACATTTTTTAATATAGATATCGAATTTTTATCAACTGAAGTCTGATAATAAGAATTTCAATTTTAACAGCTTTTAATTTTTGGAGTGCCTTTTTTTCTTTCTGAGAGGTTGACCACCTTGGACCATACCTATTCGAGGATCCATCGAGATCGCTAATAGATCGTCCACACAAATGGATCCACGATCAAGGAGTTAAAACGAATCGCACTCGAGAATAATTCAATAAATAAATCTTCCCAAATAGAAAGAATTCATGCACTACCAAGACTTTGGTAAATTGAATGTTCTTTGAAAATTTCTGAATTTTTGTTAGTCGAAGTTTAAAACCATTGCTCACAGAAAATTCAGGCGATTATTCTCGAACAATGATTCGTCATTGAGCAACCTTTACTTCTAGAACTAAGATTTAATACGAAACCGATCTCAAAGCAAATAGCGTTACGCAATCAAGGTAGAAGCCAAATACATTCGTCTAAAAGGTTGAGCCTGAGGGATCCATGTAAGTAAGGCAAAACATCTATTCAAGTATGTGCAATCTTTAAGATAAATTATTAACGTCTTGGATTTTTGCAACAAACACATGCTTTTCAAATCCACACGAAAACTATGTTGTTTCGATTGGTACATTTTGCTGTTTAGAATGCTTAATATTCAATCACAATAAAATTCATCACAATAAAATATGGATATTTCTAAATTTTATAATTTTAATTTTAACGCTGAAAATTCTATTGCTCGAGAGAGGTGCTTCAATCTAATTATTTAGATTAAGTCAGCTCATCTTTTTGCTATATAAGAAGCTCTCACAAACTTGGAATCTGTATCAAAATTGCGATTTGTGACTCTTATTAGATACTTATTGTTTTTAGATACTATATATTATTCTTCCGCATCTTCGAAAGTGTTTGATCGCGTCCTGCAATTATCCGAAACATCAATAATCCATCTATTTGTTTTATTTCACCAATCATTAACCCGTTATATTCTAATCTACTCATTAATTATATCTTAACATTTCATACTGGATTTAATTCCAGCAATATCTGAAAAATGTAGTTTTCGAACATAAAGGGTTGAAAATTAATCCAAATGCAAATCGATCAATCCTGAGGCTCGACCGTGTTCAAAAAACAGAAAAACGACAAAAACAGAGCTAAAATAAAGCCAGGTACGAAGGATAACGGTTGCTCCAAAAAGTGATGTTAAAACAAGCCCAAGTAGTCGAAGGACTCGCGATATGAAAACGGCAGTCCGCCTTAACATCGTCATTATCACATGTCATCGTTCTTGTCATCATCGCCGTTCTCATCATTGCCAACAATGACGAGATGCGATTTCACAAGTCGAGCCGAGAAGAAGAGTCTTTATACGTCTCTCTTTCTCTTTTTTTCTATTTTCTTTTCTTTGGGCGGTGAATGTGTAATTTATACAATGAGTATAGTGGTACGATGATTATGTATAATATATATATATAATATTTATATATGCGTATATAGCGATGGACTATATATGCATATCGGGCTCCACACATTCAAAAAGTCGTGACAAGACTCAGCAAACCACAAATTTCTGCAAATATCCAGAGATAAAGGTTAAACATGATTAAAAGTTCCTCGGAATCGTGTGTAATAGTAAGTAAGTAACGTTGGCGACCGGCCGCGTCGCGACGTCGCGAGACGTTCGGCCGCCTATTTCTTTCTCTAATTCTTTTAATTATCTAAACCGCGCCATGCGCCACGCACCGTCGCCATCGGGAGGCCAATTATCCTTCTGGATGTTTCTGCGTCAATACAACATTGAGATGCGACATCTTGGAGAGAGAGGAATATATAACATATATATTTAAAATATCTACGAAAAATGTACATATACTCGTACATATAATATATATATATATACAATTTGAGTTAAATTACTAAAGCGAATTTTTATTTTTTTTAATCTTTTATAATTTCGCTTTCTCCTCTCTTTCTCTCTCTCTCGAGTATCCTTGGATTTTACCAAGAAAATGACATTCTCAAAAAAACATTCATTGAAATCGTTGGAAAATAGAATCGTTTCAAATAGATTTTTTTTACGATTCACAAAGCTATTGGAAAGTCCGTTTAAAAAAAGCGGATACAAAAGATTTTCTGTCCTCCGGATGTTGTCCGCGCGATTGCGCTGGTGCTGTATAGACATGTTGTACTCTAACATAAATGTCAACTCATACCAAATTGTTCATGATATGATCAAAGGCCGATCGAAATGGCGGAAACGAGCGATCCAACACAGTTCTCGCACGGCCATCTTTGCCGTAATCTCACAAGAAATTGTAACAAATTGTGATATAAACGCAATATATCACTTTCGATGTACTTACATTTACAGACACTAGATATTAGCTGAGCTTCAGCAAAATTTCGAAAAATTTAAAAATATGATAAACTGGAAAAATCAGTTGTAATTATGAAACAAAAAAGAAACCAGTGGACTTAGAAAATGAAAGGAAGATTTCGGAAGAATCGTAAATTCAAAGATCTAGAAATTTAATGGCTTCTGCATACTTGCACGTTAATCAATCGCTCGAAAAGAGTATTTTCCGCCGTACGGAAAGTTGATCCAACATTTGCCGCGTCCAGTGTGTAGAAGCCATACAAATGCAAAACTCCAGAAATCTCGAAGAATTAAAAAAAATATGCCGGTATTGATAGACAATTTTTATTTCAGGACTGTCTTAGTAATGCCATAAGACGCTAATGTGGTGCTCTGATTGGTTCGTGACACCTTTTAAAGCCCGTATCAGACTACCGACTCTTCAGGCCGACCCGACTGCCAACTCTGACTATCGATCAATAATGCATCAAACACAATAACACTGATTTAACGTGATAGTCTGATACGAGCTTAAGACAGAACTTAAGACGGTCTTGAATATAAGAATTAACTATAAATATCGGCCTTAAGAAGATAAATTCTCGGACAATGAGAATAGCTATAGAGCTTCATCGATTGCAATTTTTGATGATTCTTGAGACTTAATTGTGTTTCTCTATCAAATTAAAATTACAAATCACTGAAATTGAAGAATACAACAATCATTGCATTAAACTCTCGATTCCGTTATCTATATTCTGTCGAATTAGATAAGTTTCAAAAATTCGGGATCACCTTGCACAAGCGAATCTGTTTAGAAATCTTCGCTGGTTCTGGATGCTAGTTCGTCCGCATATTCGTGCAACCTCTGAGAAATAACAATTTAAGTGTCTATGTGTCACGGTGCAAACAATCATCGAATCAATC